GTTTGCCATCAGTTCTCTAGTCTCCTTTTTGTTGGCGTTTCGTAGAGGAGCTTCGCTTTCCATCCCTAATATTTAACTTGAAGTAGGAGTTCACGGTCCGTCCTCCTGGCAGGAAGATTCGCGGCAATTCCAGTCCAAGCGACGCACGCGACTTGACGCCTCCTTCCGATAGCAATGTTGTACACGGTGTTGTATAGGTAAGTCTTCCCGCTTCCTCCGGGGCCGTCTATAAAAATACATCGATTTCGAGTCTGTCCAAAGCGTCAATAATATCATCTGCGGCAGCTTTTTGCATTTCGTTGAGAGTTTCATACCGAAGGAGGCCGATTCTTTCGTGTTCTTCATGATCCACTGTGATAGGTAGTGCCACGGGGCGTTCCACAACGGGAGGATGAACTAACTCTCTAAGATCTCTTCCTAAAAGTGCCATACGATCGAGGATGTCAAAGTAAGCCATGCCTTTCGTAACCTCGCGGTCGATCCCTTGGTGCATGTAGTCATCTGACATAGCTCGGCGAATTCATTCCCATAAGTCCTGTGCTTGAACAACTTCACAAAAGCAGAGTAAGCAGGCAAAGGAACTCCGGATGCATGCTGCGGACTGGTACTGGTACGGCCTCTTGTAAACTTTGACGGAAATACGGAAATATCGGTCATAATCTAGATAACCTGCATTTTTCGCTGCTTCTGCAGAAGTGCTCTATGTGATGCCGTCCACTGTCCGCAGATCTTCAAAGGACATCTTGCCTTTTGTGTTTAGAAGAAGTATTCTGAGGCAATATCGTTCGTTATCTCGAGGAGAAACAGTGAACATCCTTCCGATCTGTTTTCCGGAGCGTTTTCTAGGGGACCAACCACGACGTGGCTCAAAAGTGAAATACTCAGGCAGCTGATAATAGTAAAGCTCCCGAGCGTCAATCGCCAATCCAGAGCGTTCACTTCCCTCAGCCTGGGCATATCGCCTGTTGAGCTCGAAATACGCCGTGAGCGTGGTGAAGGTCTGATGAGCACGGTCTAGATAACGTTGTTCTTGTCCCTGCACGAAATGGCACCGTTTGGAAGTCAGGAAGATGTACAGCTAATCTATAAACCGTGTGCGACTTCTCTTGCATTGTAAAGCCGAAGATTCTGTACATACTTTGAGGCGCACATACGTAGCGAGTGTTCAGATGCTGCTTGATTTCATCAAAGTTCGCGTTTCATCTGCATTCCCATCACTTTCAATATTGATGCGAGCCCTGTCTGGTCCTTTATAAATGTACTTGTAGAGATATTTCACCGCCGAAATCATTCCACAAATCTCCAGATTCACGTGACAGTCGAACTTCATCAAGAGGTACGGGTTGTATGGAACAACCCATTCGTCACCGTATATCACACCGTTGATTTCCAACAGGTGAACGGTTGCGACGCCTGTAATTAGGGTATCCATCGACATCCACTGACGTGCTCTCTCGTAATTGCTTTGGAAATCGTTTTGAGCAAGATCCGTTCCGCATGCAAGGGAATCCATACGTCCGCACTGTCTATGGATCATATAGGAAGTCACCGCAGCGTGAAGATCTGGCTCTTCTACGGGGTTAGGGATTTCCGCACATATAGACCTATCTACATCGTCTGCTGTTCTCACTCTCCATCCTTCCTTCATTATTAAGAGCATATGACAGTGTGGGAGACCTCGCTTTCGAAATTCGACCACGTACACGTAGGCTTGTACTTCTCCAAGAACATTTTTTTAATAGATCATCACAGAGCTCTTGTAGTTTGGCGTTGAAAACACGCGCCACCAAGTCTGGGCGATCGGATGCTGTCTGACCACTAAAAAGATTTTCTGGATTTCTTTCCACTGAGGGTTGCATGTTCATGGTCAAGAAATAAGTAGGTCTTCCATAACGTGCAACTATAGCCATAGCGTCCTGATATGACTGTTGCATGGACCGCGGACTGCCGAAATGAGACGATGACAAAATCACTCGATTTCCTGGCGGGCCGGAATTGTCTTCACCGGCAAGATAATCTTGGAGGCCTCTGTATGAGTCGGCGCGTAAGGCAAGTTGATTTCCGTCTTTGGAAATTGAGACGATTCTGCTCTATCTTACGTAAGCATCGACGGCAAATTGATGGAACAGCTTTCCAGCATAGAGAATATGGTTAAACGTGTCTCGTATCGAGAACATATATGAATAGTATTCTTTCGTGTTATGCGACCTCTGTTGATGTTACTCATACTTGGTTCCCACCCACCTTCTCCCGTTGGAAACAGAAGAGGGTACGTGAGAGGATCGCAAATTTTATCAATATCACGAATATTCATAAGCTGTTCTCCAGAGGTGTTCCGTAGATGGAGAGCGAAGCTCCGTGTAGCAGGTATCGTTGTCTTCTCCAACGTAAACAACTGCTAACTTCATTTGCTGTCGGCAGGTCGTATTGACGACGTCTCAATCCTCTCTCATTGCTTTCTTCGAATATCATGCGTATCGTCAAAGGAGCACGGTTCTCGCGAGCTGCTGCTGCAAGTTCTGCCTTGCTCAACCTCGCTCATCATTTTGAAAGACTGAGCATACACGTTGATGTGCGACAACAACTCGCTGAGAAAATGCATTAGTTGTGGATCGCAGTCAACATTTCGCGTGTTTCCGAGACGTTGCTGAGCCGCCATTTCCGTGTCTAGAATGTAGATCTGCCCATACTGACGTCGTTCTCCAACATTTGGATGAAGAGGACCCATGCGATGATAGATTTGTCCATGAATCCTGTAGCAGTACGGACCACGCCCTCGAAGAATATCTACTGTGCTCCCATTGAAGCCATTGCTAAGGCTGAGTTAAAGTTTCTGATGTTCTCCAGGAAAATCCTTTGCTTGCGGCGGTGTTCTGCAGTCGCCTCCGGATTTTGAAGTCAGGGACCCTAGAAGAAAACTCTGCTCGGCGTGCGGAAAACGCTCTCTGCTCGGCGTGCGGAAAACGCTCAACGTCTGCGTCGCAGGCGGCAGACAGAAAATAGCGAACACCGAACCCCGGCGACTGCAACACTCTCAGCGACAGCGTTTGAGACGTAGCCTCCTTGCTGAGACTCCATCTTAATACCAAATGACATGAACTCGTAAATATTAATTAATAGGAGATAAGATAAATGCTCACTGTGGTAAAATATCGAACGAAAAAAGGTTACTTTCGAGTGGATAGCTGTCCACTGACTGATTTAACGTTGACAAGTAGTAAAAGATATGCACCGTATTCTGGAATTAACCGGTCTCGAAACCCTAATACCTCTGAAAACTGCTCTTGCGATAAAGAAAAATACTTCACCTGCGCCACGAAAATTACGAATAAAAAACTCGTCGAGCACCAGCTCCCTGCTAAACAATAAACCTGAATAAAAATTCTAATTCCGAATACACTGTAGCAAATCGGTGACCGATTATGAAATCAGATAAGCTAGGCAAGATAACTGCATGAATCGAATACCCAGAGAACAACTCTCTCAATTGAACACTAGAACTGAAGAAATTGAAGAAATAAAGTCCAGAAACTTTGCCTCATGAACAAAAACTAGAAAAAAACTGCGACACGACTGGTCACTACCAGTAACGAAAGCCGGAATGAGGAGGCTTTCGCCCTCTTACGAAAGCAGCGTGGCCGCGACGCGGCCGCGTCGCTTCTCTTGGCAGTCTGCCAAGAGACGCTGCTCGACGTCCCGATCCGTTCGACCGCCTTGGTGGCGGCGAGTTGCGCAAAATTCAAAACTCCACTTTTCAGCGGATTTCGTAATCTAGGCACTTCATAAATAAGTCCGCAGCCAAAACTTTGCGCGTTCAAACGGCATCGGCGCCTCGTTGCGTATACATTAAGGAAAGGCAGTCGGTGTGAGTTGCTTAAGAGCCTTTTCATTGCTCAGCTCCACTGAGTGCATCGGCGCTGTTTTCTTTTGGAGAGGTGGGGGGGGGGGGAATTTTATGCAAAGTCATGTTCAACGATACGAGCCATATGATACGCTCCCAAATGACACCCGTTTCATTTTGAGTGAGTACGTATCAGCGATTTCGAGCAGGTTCCCGTTACGCCAAAGCTGAGCATCTGAGCTTTCCAGCTTGAAGGTTCTAGAAACATAACGAATCGTTAATCGCACATTATTGCTCTAACCACAAGCCAATACCTGGGTGAGTAAAAGTTGCGCGAAGACTAAGAATTTTCTTTTTGGGAAGCCATTGTCTCAAAAAAACAAGAAAAATGACGAGGAAAATTGTT